GTGGATTCTACTAAACCAATCGTTTCAAACTATCTACAACAGTAAGTTTTTTTTATGTAAAATAATACTAGATTGTTATGTTTTGTAAAATATACTTCAACGGACAACGTTTGATACATTCCACTCATTACGCAAATCGAAATGAAGGCCGACGCAATGTATATTCTTTCTAATTGTTGCTAATTTTTACATACACAGTAGGTATACTATTGCATCAACATCTATAAACGAATTTGAATTAAATAGTTACTTAATTTTCCTCGTACACTTGACATTGGGAACTTACGACCTCTTTCGTAAAGACGCGGTGATTGAATGGACAATAGATATAAAGTGCGTTTTAAATAAATAAAACATTGGAACTGATAAGTAATTAAAGTTTAAAATTAGCGACTAACTGATGAAATTTAAACACATCATTGCGATTCGTTCGTTTGTGAAGGATACCTCGCATCTTAGGCCATTGACACGTATTGTGTATATGATAAAAGCTGTGTCTTTTGGTAATAAAAGCGTAGAAAAGGTTGATCAGTTATAGAGCTCATAAAGTCTGCTAAACAATAGTCAATGTTTTAATGCTGATGATCGTATTATTAAACATTATTCTTTACTTGTAGTAAAGAATTTACAAAACATTTCAATGTCGTGTGTATTTTAACTTCATATTTTTCTTATACGGTATTATCTCTTTACATCTATGTTGAAAAGATCAGTACTAAATATACGTTTCAAGTTAACAAGAACTATACAGCTTTTTAATATAAGAAAAAATTTCAGAAAATAAGACTGCTTTAAAATTTCAATGTAATTTAACAAAAACTCGAAACGTTTTTCGGTTGTATGTGGTGTGTAATGCAAACTTGTTGTAAGCTAAGCTATCTTGTTAAGTTAAGGTAACTCCTTCTATGAAACCATCATGTGAATACACACATACCTACACATTACGTACATATACCTATACATATATATATTAGAAGGGCCTGATCGTGATTTCAAAATAAGTGTTCACATAAAATGATGCTTATTTACATGATGCCAAGGCATAAACAGCCTTTCTAAATGATTTCAATTGTTTGGTCGTAATCTGAAAAGGCTAAAATAATAGTAGGTACTTTTTCTGAAATATAGTCTTCATTTTTAGATGAGATTCTCTTATAGAAATACTAGTCATTACAACGCGGAAATGAGATACTCCTGCATACGAAGAACCTATGTATTTATTAAATGCATTATTTCGAAATTTTAGAAAAAAACTAAATGCGCACAAAAAGTTGTCATAAAACTTTATTATATGACATCCATGATCGGCAGCGGCTTAAATGTCACTTCAAATATTGAAGTGACAGCGTCTCACATAAAAATGTACATTTGTATACAGATAAAAATATAATCCCTTCAGAATTTAAGACGAATAAAATACTACGTTTATATTTATTTTCAAAATAATAACTTTAAAATAAATAATAAGTATAACCAAGGGTTCCAATAAGTTTATATGCCCTGATTTGAAAAACATTTAAGCAAATTGGTCGTAAACATTGCGTTTGCTTAGTTGGTGACGTAAGCGGTATTTTGCCGAAACGTCAAGCCTCAGCCGTGACCCCTTCATCCAGATCAATACTTCAAAACATTACATCAATATTATTGTTGTTAATCAAACAAATGCTATATCACTATCGTCATAGTGTTGTCATATCTCTGATCATGATGATTGCTTGAAAACAAATTAGCATATTTATTTTCGTTCGCCCTTATCGGACAAATTATATCATGATATTTTTAATGACATAATCCGATATAATTACTTTATAATTAATTAAAACGGATGTATGAATACGTATATTCCATAAAAAATACATTTTTCATTTCTAAAAAGGTAGAAAAAAGTTAAAGGTTCGTAATTAGTCAATATTTCTTAGATTCCAGAGTCCTGACATCAAAACTCAAAAATGCAGGTAAAACAATGGTGGTATATTGTAAATTTTCTATGAATTAAGTAATAAATACTGAGTGAAATTTGTGAAGACTATATTAAAAACACTACCGTTGGACGACAAAGCCAGTGTTTACCAAATACAAATAAATGTATAATAATTATGTGATTTAATTATAAGTTTACTTAACTACCTGCCCATGCTTATTCTCAAATTGATAAATACTATATCATTAGGATTAGGATTTCTTCGAATTCTATGAGGGTAATCTTTTGTGATAAATAAAAAAGGTCAAATGTTTTTAAAATACCCTTGAACAGTTCTAAATTAGTCCAGATTTACAGTATTTATAATCTATGCTTTTGATTGTGTCTGTTGGTCATTATAGAAACTGCTTTGAGATACCTTACAAATGAATCAATCAAGTTGAACGAGTCAGGAAAAAAACACGAGTGGATACGGCTTCGTGTCGTAATATTATGACAACGGTGTAACGAGGTTAATGGTTTCTTACCTACTTTTAGATTTACTATTCTATACCATAGTACATTCTTGAAGTGTTACATATAAATAAAATATACATCTCAGTTAGCCTATCCTTTGTATTAATCGGTCAACTGATGGTTTCGTTTTGTTTGTATACAAAAAACAGTACATAGACGTATACATATTTGTCAAAAAATCATTTTACAAACTCCTATTAATAATGTTTTTTTTTAATATGTTCAGAATTTTTTTTATAATTTAGCTAACAGAGGCAGATGCTTTAATTCATGTAGTTCTGGTATGATGAAAGCAAAGTTTAGAATCAATACAAGTTATAAGTGAAGTATCAATTTTTTTACAATATTTTACTAATATCTTATTGTTTATAAAAGTTTTTATTATTTAATTTACGAAATATATATTTGTGCAGATTGCGATAAGGACAAGGTTAGGGTCGTAATGTTGCCAGGCACTTTAATATTATGTCTATAGCGTACCTCCACGTTGACGTTCGTAATATAAACCTGTTATAAATTTATTATAACATATAAAAAAATATATAATAATACATTTGGTCAAGAACAGACGTATCAACGAGTGCTAGAATTAGGATTATCCTTTGATAAGATACGAATTATGAGAGGTATAAAATGTATGCTTTGTACATTTTCCAGAATTAAAATGTTTGTGGTTAGTTTTTATTAATAAAACATAATAATATGTAATGAATGAAATGAATAAATATTATAATGAAAAACATTGTTAGTTTCTTTAATGTTATAACGTTCATAATGCTTAATAATAGTTCCAAAATTGAATTAACAATTCATTCGTTTTTTATAGTTCATTTTAAATATTGATATTATTCAAAGTATAGTTAAAACTTGTTTGTTGGTGAAATAATTTATCGCCATTTATATAGAAATCAGGTAACCATTAAGTCATGTCCTGTTTCCCTACATTCATTTTCTTAGTAACTTTTTTTAATGCTATGACTTCATTCCTTCTTAGCACACCAAGTGTCTTAAATCCGTCATATATTGGGACTTTGCCAATAAATGACATTTGAGTATTCTTTTTTAATAAATATACATAAATCTAATACCTAGACATGACGAAATCTTGAACAGTTATCATCACTCAATCGGCACGTTCACTGTTATAATAATAAAGTACTATAGAAATATAGTAGAAAAAATATACTTCAATGCAAATAACAAACGTTCGGAAATGTATGACATCTTTTGTTTGCATTTATTGAACCATGGCACAAAGCCGATAAGAAATTATAACATTTTTATGATAATAACATCCTCGGATATTCTAAACTCAAAAATATTTAATTCAACAGAGGTTATTATTAAATTTAATAATATTTTGGTTTAATACTTCCGTTTGAATCGGATATAATTTCAACTAAAACGTTTTAGTATAATCTGTGATAGTTCATTTAAAATTCATTCATAATAGGTATCAAATTACTGTTGCCATCCTTGAAAATATTTTACAACTCGACAAAATAAATATACAACCATCAAATGCATACTTTTTCACATGAAATTTTATATAAGTATTGAATACATAAATAAAATGTAAGTCGTATTTTAAAGTCCTTTTTATAGTGAATATACATAGTTAATCAACTGCAATATTGTTAAATCCATTTACGACTGTAAGTGATGTTTATGATCGAACATAAATTTATAATTATAAAGATATCAAAAGATACGGCACGTTGCTACATTGATGTTTATCTTATTTCCTATCTTTGGAGATATCAACGTTTATTATGAGCATCCTCCTATTCGTATTATAGACTAAGTAGATTTAAAGTTATGAATTGAGTTTCCTTTAATTCGTTTGGATAATCCAGACTTCAAATCCTGAAAATCAATAGCACAAAAACACTTAGATTATTCAAAGTGTCTTGAAAGTCGTCTCACGGTCAAGAGCTCTGCTTCTCTATTTAATCAATATTCGACACAAAACTACGTCTAGATGTATGTCAGTTGAAACAGATGGTTTTTCTCACAAGTTGAAGCTACATTTATTATTAATTCAATTACATAGAAAGCTATATACTTTAGCAACGTTTATGCAGTTCTGAAGTATCGATTTAACTTGTGTTTTATTTTAAACATATTTCCAATGAAAAAGAAATTATTTGTTTGCGACAATAATTTAAATTTACCTACAAGAGGATTAAATTTCGCTGCATTCGCTGTTTAAAAAAATGCATTATTAATTTGATAGTCGTAATTTATAGTAAGATATCAAATTTCAATAATAATTGTAGTAAAGAGATTACTTTTTTCCTAAATACATTCTAATTCATGAATTACGAATAATTTATAGAGTAACTAAACAAATATTAACTGTTCCAATTATTTATGTGCTAAATGTTAAAGGTAACGAATAATAAAACTATAGAAATAATTAAATTTGAATTTATTTAAATAACCACATAACTTACTGAGATTCCCATACACGAACGGCCCTATAACCTATATTTACAGCTCGGGCCACTTATGCTATATGTACACACGCGAGGGATAAGCATTAATCACAGGTATACACATTTCAAACGGGGGCACCGACTTCTTCCTGATACGACCTCGTCAGATGTACCGCAGCGGCCGTTAAGTGGCGGAGACAACGGCGCAGGCCCCTGAGATGACGGCGGCAGGCAGCCGCAGCCCGAGCAGCAGACTCCCTCTCATCTTCACCATCAATACCGGAATCCCCAGCGGCACTGGATGCATCACTCTCAGTGTCACTGAAGTCAGATATACGACGGCCACGTTCGGTCGTCTCTTCACCGGCCCAGAGTAATTCAGTCTTCAAATCATTCAACATAGAGTATAGGTTGAATGGGTCATCATCACCCTCTTGCGGCAAGTTCATCAAACGACTGGGAACTAACACAGTCTCGTCCATGGCGGTTACCATTTTAACAAACTTCTCCATATCATTTAGGACACTCTGTTTTGAGAACTCAGTGTTGTCATTTCTGGCAATTTTTCTTAGAGTATTTCTGTAACAAAAGATAATACACATTAGATATATTATATTTTCTCACTGGTATTTGCATTACTGTTGCTGATTCAATTTCCTCGTTTATTGAAATCATTTCACAAGTGTTTATATAATGCAATGTAATCACTGGTAAGATGCTTTGTTACAAGATTTTATAATGAAGGGTTTTTTGTCTTATATATGTTGATTAAAATTGGAATAATATTAACAAGTTTAAGGATTAAAATTTTACATCAAGAGATATTAATATGCATACAATAATTACTTCTATCTCTAATTACTTTATTTAACCTTTCAACAAATGAATAGTTTATAAGTTTTATTTTAATTAACTAAAGGGGCAATTTAGACTTTTGATAGTGTACTTACTATAAATAAGGTAAATTTATTTAACTTTAGAAAATCTTTTTCTTTGATGCTCAGGTAAAAGCAATCAATTACATGTCAAGAGGTATTATCCAAAGGTGATGAACAAAGAATTTTATGCAGCATTAAAATTCCAATATATTATAACTTTTATACAAAGCCTTTGTCAGGATAATTAGTGAGTATATTTGATATGGAATAATTTTCATAGAATTACATGTATTGAAGAAAATTACTATGAATCTTTCGAGCTTTAGTATATGTAAGACAATACGTAACAATTAGTCATCAAGGATTGTTGAATGATATGGCAATTGATATTACTTGATCCCTCGTACACGCCCAAAACTTAATAGTCGTTCCGGGAATTTGTTATAAACTCAAGGTATTTAAGATGTTGAAATGACCACGTTATGCCTCAATGTGACGCCAAGCCAATATCGTTGCTAATATTGCAACATTCTAAATTAAACTAAACACATCATTTGTATAAATTAAAACAAAAAATTAAGGCCATACGCATTGGCTACTAATATTAATATATTTGCTTATTTATGACTTTAATATGTTTAAACTAAATCAATATATAAGTTCTTGAAAAAGATTTATCACGATGTAGCTGGGGTGGGACCATCGGCCATTAATAGTTTTGAATTCGTACCTGCTGTTCTCCAATGTGGTCGATATGTCGGTGTTGAAAGACATTTTCATGTATTATTTAATGACCTTAAATATCACTGAACACACGCTCGAATTCTTATATCACTTTAGTTGACGTTTGCAGTAAAATCTTACGAAACGTTGCAAACAGACTACACCAAACAAACGACCGCACGCGAAAACGTTGTTTGACGTTTGACTAGTAGAGGGGGAGACATTGGGTTTTTATATGATTCGAGTGGATCATACGATGCGGGGGAAGCGAACTCGAGTTTCATTTTATCGAATTTTAACATTTAAACTTTAAATTAATGCATTGAATTGATCAATTCTATATTATAGTTATAATACTTTGTTTGTAATATAGATTCAGTACAAAATAAAGATTAGGAAAATTTCATACAGGACTGTAGTTTTTGTCTTAACGGTGAGTTTGTCAGGTGCGTCCTACCGAAGTCACACCACATACAGGGATTGTGATTGGCTGAACCAGACCATGGTGTTCTATTATTGGTTAAATTTTTAATATTCTGGCGCGGTTTTTTAAAATAATATTTTCGATTGTATTATTAAAGATGCCATTGAATTATTCATATATCAGAAACTGTCATTCGAATATATTTGTTAAAAAAAACCAAGAGATTCATTATATTGATTTATTTTAGTGAAAAGTAAGAAAATCCATATAAAGGAACATTAATATTGTCCTAAATAGCTTTCTTTTAATAAGTAAATAGGGTGAAAGATCAAGAATAAATTAGTGTTCATTGTGTGTTAATCTGTTATACATAATGTTAAATATTTATACAAGAATAAAGAAAGGTAATATCCAAATACATACAAATAAATTAGTGAAACGTAAACCAAATTATTTACAAATTAAATTATTTGCTTTACGTCAATGATGACTAAATAAACTGTTAGTTATTATTTAATAAACCATTCAATGAAAATATTATCAAAAAGGCGGGTAATACATTGCACTTGTGGCGTCATATTGTTTTTGCCAGTAGTTGCTTCTAAGCTGATAAATATTGGAGACACACCCTCTGTCGTCAATTAAAACCTAAACAAAAACAGAATCATAAATATTATTATAGTACAATGTTTGTTACTATCCACTGTTACTATATTACTTCCCCGTAGCTGAATCGATACTATCGATTCTCGATATTAGTATCGATATCGATATGCATTTTTATTTATAGAATAATCTTCAAGAATCTTTATTAATTGTTTATTATACTGCTAAAAAAATGATTTGACTGAATACGTCATTCAGTTATTTCAAGATCTTATATTTTTTAATCTTATAATTTTTTTAGTAATATACTTCAGTCTATTGTGATAATATGGCCGTGAACCTTTCCTTAATAAACGTTAATGATAACGTTCTTTCATTAAATTGAAATTCGCTTATCACTGAACTTGTCCAGCTAATATGTTTTCATTTTTCGGTGTAATAAATATATTGTTTTGAAATTTAAACACTGCTTGCTAGGGCCATCTCGTAACGTGATTAGTAATTACTGAAACCTTTCTGAAAATATAGATGTCTCTAATTTTGACGTCGGGAACATTAAGCAAGTATGTTTTTGACAGAATTGAGAGATGTCACTATTATTGAAGTGTCCGTATCAGTTTTATAGTACGATAATAGATGTCGCTACTTACAACATATTACTTTCTTGATTTTTTACAAGCTTTCAAAAAATATGTGTACCGATTATCGGGAATAAATGATGTAGACTGTTAGGCGTTTATTAATATAAAAATCGATTCTTGTAAGTCCAATAAGTACAACATTTAAAATATTTTGTGTCTTATTTAAGACTGGTATAAATTGTTCATGTTTACACTTAACACTGACCAAGTATAATTTATAATTATTAATTAATTATAAACTTTATAAAATGAAATCTATATCGAAAAATACTTCAAAAATCTTCATGTTATATTTGCAAAAGTTTAAAATATATTTTTACTTTCAAATTGGAATTGGCATCAAAACCCCATATCATTTATGAAACAAATAAAATTTCAATCCTAAAATAAGTATCATCATTTGCATTTTTAAGTCATTTTTATTTTAAATCATTATATAATATTAAAGGCATTATGATAATAGCATGAACTCATCTTACGTAAAAAAAATACAGCTTAAAAATTATATCATTCCCAAATACCACAGAATAAAATTATTACACGATAATATAACACAAAGTTAAGTTAATTAATTTACAGATTCAAAGCTAAGCTTTTAATTAGGTAACTCAATCAGAATAATTGAGATTAAATAAGTGAAATAGTTGAGTCAAAGTTTACCGTCCGGTCGAGAGCGCACTCACGGTTTGCGGCCGCTAATCAAATTAAGCTGATACCCTTGATATGTTTGTGTGGAGACGGAAACTTTAATGAAATTAAACATATAAAAAATATATAATATAAAGAAAAAAAATAATTTTTGCCTAGGATTTGAATTATAAAACGTTCTAATAATACAAACATTCTATTTTTGAATTGTTTTAATTTTAATTTTAACAAACGTATTTTCTTTTGTGCCAGTATAGATGGTATAAGAAAAAAAACTTTTATAATCTATTTTTAACTTTATTTTTTGTTTATGTGTAATAATACTTAAATTATCTTATAGTTACAAACAATTATATTAGAAAATAATGATTCTGTATCCATATGAGAGCGTCCATCGGATATTCAGGCGATTTCACATCAACGGGATATGAACGAGTGTGCAAACAAAGGTGGACGGGACGGACGCTTTGATTCGTCGCGAGGGCGGAAATATATCACTTTAATTATAAAAACGGAAAAATATTTGTTTAGGTAATTGTATGCATATACTTATTATGTTTATATTTGTGTTTATTGATATTAATTTGTTGTGTATATTATGTATTTATGTTTATTATATGTAATCCCCCTTTTTTTTTGAATATTTTGATTTTTGGTTCTGGGATGTTTTGTATGGAAAAAAATTAAGTAACTTATTTATTGATTTTTCATTTATTTTTCAAATTAATAAAAAAAAGAAAAATTTATATCACCTTTTTTGAAATCTCGATTTGATTCTAATTGAACTTAGATTTTTTAATTTTTTTATAACGATATTTCAAAAATAAAATCATTTTACTTTAGGAAAAATAATATAATAAGTTAAACTGCCAAAACCTAGAACTACAAATATCTTATTGCATCTTAATTCTATACATTTACCTGAAGGAAAAAAAAATCGGTTAACTTAAATATAAATAAAAAATCCCAGTAAAACAATAAGTTTTATTAAAGTTCTGAAATAAAACTACAATTATTAACAAGAAATAAAACATTTGTTATTTGTATAATACAAAACCGCAAATAGACGTACGTGTGAATGCGACATAATAACAAAAAATTAGAATATCTTTCTCAATATTATCTGAAATACTAAACGAGACGGAATAATAAGGGGTTAAATTAATTATACGTGTCGCCATCGTAGAGCGTAATATCTGGCCATAATACCGGCCTTATTTTATAAAACCCAGCTAAAATGAAATCGTCTTCGCGAAAAAGGGGTTTGTTTTAAAGCCCATCAGAAAATAAATGCTCCGGGACAATAATGTGGGATTCGTTTGTAGATATAAATTCAGAATAAAAATACTTTCGTCTGAATTGAACGTCTTAGTAGTGTTGTACAAGCATCTTTGTTTTATCGATAATATATGTAATTAAAAATACATATTAAACTTAAGTCTTAACCCTACACTATATATGATTAATTTTAAATGCCTATAGTGACAAAAAAAATTCCCCTAATGATTTTATTACTTAGCATAAATTGAGCTTAATATATGAGGTTTGAGGAATATTTATATATAGAGAAAAATATTAATAATATTAATTATCAAATAGATACTAGCTACATCCCTATCTAAGGGAGTACGATGGAAAGAGTTGCGACCAGTATAAACGTTAAGACTGGATGAACAAATAAATGAGCCGAGCGATCGATATAAAATATCTGAATGCTAAGAAAAGCTCTGTTATTGTTCCATTGTTTCAACTAACAGAGAAACGATGCTTTATATAATATTATATTAATGTACAGTTTGATTATTATTATTATATATTTAGAATATTTATATTAAAATTGTTATAAGAAACATGATTTAGCGTAGATACCTATTTTTTGTATTTAGCTTAATAGTTATGTTTGATTGAAATCTCTTTGAATTTGTGTCATGATATAAATACAGTCAGAATTTTCTGTGTACCTTTATGTATATTGCATGCTGTACATGATATGTATTTTGGAAATAGTATTATCAAAATATTCCACGATACATTAGCTACCCTAAAAGAAATGGAAGTTATACACAACTATATCGAAATACCGTGAAACTTGTACAAATAATTCATTGCAATATTAACCCAAGGAATATCAAACCAGAGTTCCAGAGATGTAACTACGCTTATTATTAATAATGAAACTATCGTCTTTAACAAAATGCATAATAAAATTAATTTATTTAAATTTCAATAACAGATTTTTAAAAAAGCAGTATTATCGTGATTTCATAATCAATTAAAATTTGTCATTAGCAAGATTTCTTTAAATGGAAATCATCCCAAGTAATGTAACAACTTGCTTTGTTAATAAACATACTAAGTCATTAATATAGTAATGAGATGATAAGACGTGATGAAATATAACGAAAACATTTAACAGCGCAGGCATTTATTTATTACAATTCATTAGATAATGTACTATCATAATAACCTACGTAGGATTTACCGACTCTCAAACATTATTCAAATATAATGATCTTTTACATATATATTTGTTAGGTTGTCTTTATATTTCAATGAATTATTGTTTGTACTTTCATTAAATTAAAGAAATTAATCCATTTAAAACAAAAAAATGGTAGGTATAGCGTTTAATTCAAAGCGTAGTCTGTTGACACAGCTAAGTAACCACGCGACGCCACGCTTCATTTGAATTTCGCTTAATCTTTGTTATGAATAAAGAAAAATTCGTGGAGATGTTT